AAGTTTTCCCTAATACATGCCAACAATATTACCAAAATAAATGGAATTATAATATTTGATACGCACACTATTTTAAAGGTGCATTTATGCAATCTTTACAAGTAGTCATATTCCAAGTGAGATAAAAATATTTAATGTATAGTGTATGTAGATATTGAATGAGAATATTACAGTTATGCAGTGATTTAAATTACCATCCACTGTTACCTCAGAGACTATGAACATTTTATTTTTCCTTCCTAAAAATTGTTTTAGTAAATTTCATATTCTCATCACTGTGCTATTTGGCCACTTTACTAAAGGTTGCTATGTAAGATTAGGTTTTGAGTACTCCATTTGTGTGTGTGTGTGTGTGTGTGTGTGTGTGTGTGTGTTTGTGTGTGTATACACACATACATATATATTTAAGCAGGCCCTTTATCTATCTGTGCTACAGAACTGACACTGGAGGATTGTTCCTTGAAGACCTGAATCCAAAACAGTGCCCTATATTTCACATATCCTGTGGGATCCTATAAAACCATGTAACTTTCTGTAAGACTTTCAGCTTTTAAAGATGCTGAATGATCTCTTGATTGTGAAATACAGACATTACATCAGTGTAAGATGGCTTTTTTTTTTCCCTACCCTTAAATCAATCATTAGTGACACCAGACTGTGTCACTGATGGTATCCATGCTGGATCTGACTAATCACTTTGTATAAATATCTAAAGCTCCAAATATAGTGGTTTTAATATATTAGACCCACATTGGGGTGCTAAAATGTATCCTTGGATAGATGGAAATTGGGCATATCTGGGAGGCTGATATAGCATAATTGGTCTCAGAGGGATTAAGATGGGGAGATAAAGAAACAGTACCAATAGAATTAGTCTTTATTATCCTATTGAGAATAGTGTTGGTGACCTAAAGCTATAATGCACAAAGAGCCTGACTGTTATTACCCCTAGGTGGCTGAACTTGAACTATAATTGGGTTAGCACCTGAGAACAATAACTCTTGACACTCTCTTTAATATTTCTGGTTTTGGGTTGCATGCTTTGATATTCCTTTGGAAATACATAAATCAAAATATATTGATGGTTTATCTACTGAATTTAAAAGCATTAATTTTATAACTCTTTACAGATAGTATATAGAATCCTTTAATTAGCTTGTAGTCATTTAAATATTTCTGTGTTCCTGTTTAAATATCTCAAAAGTGCATAAATGTAGCAGTTTTCTCTAGCTTTGTAAAGGCTCTTAAGTAGACAGACCGATTCTGGACTATTATATTAAAAGTAATAACATATGATCTTAAAAAGAAGGTAGAAAGTGTGAGGAATAAACTTTCTACGACTGTAAAAAGTATCTTTTGGCTTGCATTATCTGTTCCTGCTTTTGTCAATGTTATAATTTAGATGCTGGTTTTCTCAGTAAAAACTGGGTAGCTCTTGATTCAATGAACTCATTTTTAAGCAAGTGATTGCCTAGTGGTCTTAGAAATTAAAACTTAACATAAAAGAATAGAGGTGGCAATCTCGACTTTGTTTTCTTGACATTTTCCTTTAGCTTGGTTAAAAATGTAGTAGTTACTGTCATTGCAAAGCATTGAATAGTTGTTAAAAGAATTTCTTAAAAATACTTACTTTCTTCCAGAGGGCTAGAGAAACATTTTTTAAAGGTAATACAAAGGGAGCATGTCTTTAATCCCAGCACTCAGGTGGCAGAGGTAGGAAAACTGTTTCAAGCTGATGGTCAGCTAAAACTATGTAGGAAGATCTTTTCTTAAAATTACAAACACACACACACACACACACACACACACACACAGCTAACACTGAGTAAGGTCTTGAATATAATCATCTTATTCTGATCTTTAATGTCTGACTTTATTTAATGTCTGACTTTGGGAGAACACTTAGTGTCACTTTTTATTTTTATGAGGGTATTATATAAGGACTTCCATACTCCTTTTACTACTAAAGTTTTGCTGTTGTTTTGTTTCTTTTAAATGAGGCCCTCATGAGGGTTTCAACCCCAGTCTTCCCATTGCTGAGGATCACAGGTCTTGTGCCTGTTAGGCAAATGCTCTCCAGCCCACTGTGTTTAAGTTTATAATCTAATGATAAGGTCGGTCTAAGTTGAAATCCAAGTACCTTTTGTTCAGACGGAGTTCCTGACAGTTTCATGGATGAGTCATCTTAAAACCAACACTGAAATTGCAATTAAAACTGTCATGCTAGGTTATAATATTCATCTAAACACGTTTGTGTCAATATGTAAGAGTATTCAGGATTAAGCTGCTGTGTTTAACTCGTACCTTCTTCAAAATCCTAGACAAAATGGATTGGTTTGTGTTTTGATGCAAACTGTCCTGTGAACTGTGAGTGCAGAGCCATTAATGTTAAAGCCTCATTGTGCTGGCTAGTTTTATGGGTGAAAGGGGGAGAAGAAAGGGAGGAAAAATACAGGTCCAAGGTGAACCTTATACAAGCTAGAGTTATTTGAAAGGAGGGAACCTCAATTGAGAAAATGCCTCCATAAGATCTGGCTATAAGGCATTTTCTTAGTGATTGATGGGAGAGGTTCCAACCCATTGTGGGTGGGGCCATCCCTGGGCTTGTGGTTCTGGTCTATAAGAAACCAGGCTGAGCAAGCCCAGTAAGCAGCACCCCTCCATGGCCTCTGCATCAGCTCCTGCCTCCAGGTTCCTGCCTTGTTTGACTTCCTGTCCTGATTCCTTCAGTGATGGGCTACAGTGTGGAAGAGTGTAAGCCAGATAAACCCTTTCCTCCCCAAGTTGTTTTTGGTCATAGGGTTTCTATGCTGTTACGAAACACCATCTTGCAATCACTGTTATTGCTAGCAGTTTTTTTGAGAAGCAAATGGCCTAGAGTCTGCCCTTCACTGTGTGAAAGGCCATCCCACCATGGCTCAGAAGTGGTCATGGAGAAACCTGTTGACCAAGTTAGAATTTTTTTTTTTTTTTTTTTTTTTTTTTAATGACAGAAACATGTACTTCTTAAAAGCCTGTGCTGGAAGTGAGACCCTTTCAGTTCATATCTGCATCCTGCCTTCTAATGCCTTTTATGATCTTAAGACTATTCCTGCTTTATAAAGTTGTTATGCACTGGTAGTATTCCTTTAGAGCTATTAGGAAGATTGAATATGTTAAGTCATACCAAAATGTATAGCAAAACACATTTTATAACATTTCATTCAGAAATATGTTGAGTATTCCGTTTCTTATATATCTGGCATACAGTGATAAATCTGTCAGTAATTCCTATGGCCAAGAAAACTTCATGGCAATAATTTCTGTAGTTGGTGGAGACTGGACATACAAAAGGGGAAGGCAAAACCAGCACTGCTACTGTGGCCTCTGGAGTTGTCCAGGCAGTCCCTGTTCAGCTGTCATCTGGACAGAGTGCTGCTCAGCAGTCTGTTGGTGCTCCCACCTCTGTCTCTCGTCGTCACTAGGCCCCTTTGGAGGGCCTCTGCAATCTCTGTTGTCTGCTATGCTTGCAGAATCTTGGTTGATTGCTCTTCACAGCATGAGGGCTGGCTGTTGTTAACTGGCTACAGAGAGCACCCTGTTATGAAGTTCTCTGAGAGACAGGGAGGCTTCTGAACGAGCTTGCATGGTGTGGTAGTGTTAGGAGGCAAACTGCTCCCCTGCCCACTGCTGTTTTGGTTGGATATGATGAGTTTTTGTTAGCGAGTGGCCATTTCCTGCTACCTCTTCTGCTTCCTTTCTCATTCCTATTTCTAAACAGAACTTCTGACAACCTGATGACCTGGTAAGAAGTGCTCTCTCTTAACATATGAATCGTCAGCTAAGGACTCTTCCTAAGGTTGTCTGTGTTTGTCTTTAACTGGTAGAGTGGCCCCCTTCTTATTAGATCAACATAATAGAATGTCTCTACATTTTGCCAAATTATTAAAGCACTTTCAGCACCATTTCATGTTCTTCTGAGAGGAATATAAATTTGTATTTTCAGGCCTTCCCAGTGGACATAACATCACTTCATGCAACATTGTGATTTCCAAATATGGCTGACCTAAATCATTATATTTTATTCTGATAGACTTGTAATCAAGGAATCGGAAATGGGTCAACATTTCCGATCATCAGCTTTCGCCTCACTATTTAATAGGTAAATAAGCTTGCAAAGACAAGGGCACAGGGCTTCAAGGTCCCCTCAGCAATACTGCTTGCTGCCTCCCTCTCTTGCCCCCGTCAACATGCCTGACTCCACGTCTGCAAGCCTCCTGCCCCCCCTCCTCCTCACATAACATCGCCCAGGCTTTAGCCTCAGTAGTGTAAACAGATTGTGCCCATATTGCTCACCAGTATCTCTCGAGCGAAGGACATGAAGAGATGTGAGGATTTAATAATTCACAAAGTCTGTGCTAATCTGCATGGCAGAAAGTTGTCAAAATGTCTAAATTATTCCTAAGGACAACAGGTACAGGGTAAGAAGATCTAGGTATGAAGATGCCATGTGCTGTTACAGATAGACACTTAATTTGCCAAACAGTGGTTGTTAGAATTGAGAATAAACCCAATACCCAATACTCTAATTGTTAAATCTGGAAAAGAAGCTATCTTAACCTTTGGGGATTTTTTTTTTTCCTGGCACATAGACAGATCTCAACTGTCTCTTTTATAAAGTGGGAACATTTAAATACTACTTCACATAGTTATTACAGGAATATTTATACTTTACCATGCTGACAATTTATATAAAAGAAAAAAAACTAAGAAACTGAAGAATAAAATTTTATATATTTTATTAATATAAAATAATTTGTAATAAATAAAACCGATAGACATGTCCTCTCATCTCCTTTTATGGAAACTTAAGCTTGTCAAACCTAATATACTAAACTCTAGCTCAGGTACATGTGTGCATATCTGTAGTTAACTAGCAGGCTCCCTCCTTGCTACCTGTTCTGAGTTACTTTGTTCATAATTAAGAAGCAGGATTTTCAGTTTTGTTTTGTTTTTTTCAGCTACGACAATTAGTTAATATGTGCATCAACCCAGATCCAGAGAAGCGACCAGACATCACCTATGTGTATGACGTAGCGAAGAGGATGCACGCATGTACCGCAAGCAGCTAAACTCTACAGGATCATCCAGAAGGCAACCAAGATGACTGCAAAGCATTTCTGTGCAAATCATACCTCCCTGCTTTTTGTCTGGGTGTTACGATCACTATTTCGGAGCTAACGTGCTTTGAATCCTTAACCAGTTTTCAGATAAGCTTCATTTTCCACCAGGCTCATTCACCTTCCAAATCCATAACTCAGAGTGCATTCAGAATGCAAGTGCAACAGCAAGAGTTTTTAACAGCCTAAGGTTTGGGGATTGTTTGGAGTTCTCTGCTGATACATTGTGTTATTGATTGTCAGTGCCAAATGGTGAAGAGACACATTGGCACACATCAGGAGAGACGCGGAACCTAAGCAAAGGACCTGAGCATTTACTTGTTTGCTTTTAAGTCATTTTAAGACATTGCAGTGGACATAATTGTGAACTTCTGTGATTTTTTTAAAGTTTCAAGTACATGTTTTAGTTCTTAGCATTATAGTTTTCAACTATGATTCTTATGATAAATGCAGTCATAAACTATTTGAGAAACATTTAAAATTTTAGTTTATACATTCAAAATGCAACTATTAAATGTGAAAAGGAGAGGACAAAATATGAGTCAGACACTGAAAGTCTTGTCTTTTAATGCCTTCGAAAGCCTCTGCATTTAAATGGTATAAATGAATCCATTTTAAAAGTGGTTAAGGACTTGTTTTGCTGGCGTGACAGTTTTTAAAGTTGCACATTGTCTGAGGCTTTGTGCATTTTTATTGTACATTTGAAGAATATTCTTAGAGTAAACTTGCAGTAACTATAATTCAATTTCTTTATAAATCTAAGTACATTTAACTCATAACTGTACACTGTAATGTAAGCATGTGTTCTTATTCATAGATTGTAATGAAGTTTTGATCAATCCTCTTCAGATTTTTTTATTCAAATTACTTTCTTATTTATATTATGTGCACATTTTATCCATTAATGTTTCAGATTTTCTGAGAACATAATTCTTTTTAAAAGATATTTGGTATGCCAAAACTTTCCTTGGATTAAAACTTTTTTTTTAAACTCTCGAGCCACTCTGTGTGCATGTTTTATGTTGTTAGAAAGAAAGGATGTGTGTTACCATGTGCCTGTGAATGTCGATATTGTTTGACAAGGTTGTAATTTTAGAATATGCTTAAGGACACGAAGATAGGCCCTTACTGCAGACAGAACTGCTATGAGAGTGACTTTTCAGTAGAGACGCTTTGGAGGAAAGTACTGTATTTGTGCATGGAGCTGACAGACATGGAGGGGCTCATTTTAGTTAGGGAAATGGACAGGTCAGGAAACCCTGCTGTGGAGGCTTGTTTTCCCGTGAATGTCTTCATCTTAATACCAGCCAGTTTCTTTACAGAGTTGTGCAGCCAAAGGACAGAGTGGTAGGCACTGTTGCAGAACACTGTGTGCCATGGTAGAGCCGTGGGCAGGCTTACCCCGCAGCAGCTCCGTGTTCAGGGAGCGCGTGCTCTGGCAGACAGAACTCCCGGCTTTATTTTCTCACACAGGATTGTTCTTAGAGGTATTTTTCAGGTAGTTTATGAATTTTAAAAACAATGCCTGTCTTCCTAATTTTAATTGTCTATGTATGCTGTCTTCAGGATAATTTCATCTTGAGTTAGACAAAGGAAACCTGGTTGTTTTTTGTCTTGCAGGCTGACCTGGGTGCACCCAGGTCTTAGTGGCTCCTTAGCCTTTTCCCTGGGCTGGCATAGATGAGTCCCCAGAAGTGGGAGGAGAGCTGCTTCTGTTGACCATCTGTGTGGTGTCCATGTGAGTTCAGGATTGACTGAGATGAAACAGCCCCTTCTTACAACAGTCCTTCGCTTTCCGTCTTTAAAAACACAAGGTTCTGTCGGGCAGTGATGGCACACTCCTTTAATCCAGGACTTGTGGGGCAGAGGACATGGAATTCTGTACATTTGAAGCCACCCTGGTCTACAGAGAATTCCGGGATAGGTAGGGCTACACAATACCTGTCTCGGAATACCAAAAATAGACAAATGAAAACACAAGGTTCTAAACTCAACCTTAACCCCTTGTAGTGATTTTGCTTTATGAAATTGTCTCCTAAAAAGAAAGAGCTGGAGAGCTTAATGGTCAGGGATGTCTATTATAATTTTCTACAAGAGAAAACTTTCTTTCAAATACTTTTTTTTAAAAGTCCAAGTGTTCATATTTTTCCCCAAAGAAACCATTGTGTAAAACCAAATTCAGTGCGCTATTTGCGAACAGTTATGGAACTGATTAGAATCTAATCTTAGCAATCACCTATAAAATATTCTCTTTATATTTCTGTTTGTGAGTAAATTTTATATTAAGTCAAATATTGGAGTTGATTTGAGTAAGAGGTCAAATAAAAGGCACAGCTTATTTAGACCCAAGGGGGGGGGGGTGTTAACTTTGGTTGGTGTGCTGAGGTGTGGGGTGAATGAAGGACCCCCTCTGTAGACCTCAGCAATGTGCAATGATTGTAAACTTAGTGAGATGCTACCTCCACGTCCTGGGCACTCCACTGTTGTCTAGCTTGACCATTATAAAACACACCGTCCTTGTATCTGTATGTTTCAGGTGTTGCTCTTAGCTTTTTCTGTATTTATTATAACCAAGACGCCGTTATTCACACGAAATGTTTATTCTTCAAAATGAATGTATTGTTCATAACCCACAAATGCATACTCTTTGCTGATTTCCATAGTACTGTAATATGAATTTCTTTTGTGAAATACTTTTTCTTTTGTTATGCTTTAAATACACATGCAAAAAGATTCTGTTTTTAGCTTCAAAAACTGTACAATATCTTAATATAAATATATAAAAATAAAAGATGAGTACTGTAAATTTGAGTATCTGTAATTTTCTCTCTCTCACCTCTCTAAATCTACCATTGTTTTCCTTGGCACCAAACCTACAGAAACAGTTCTTAAGAATTTCCAGAACTTTGTTGTCTTGCAGAAACCTAAAAGATGAGCCAGTCAGTATTTGACAACTACTCTGGAGGCTCTGGAGGTTTATGGTTGGCTTTTGAATGTGCATTATATTCCAAAACACAGCTCGCTAGTCTCTTCAGCCTCTCATTTTTGGTCATTTAATAAAAGACATCTAAACCTTAAGGAAGGGATCTCATTTTCCTGGATTGAACCTTTAGAATTAAGATAATTCCCTGTCGCTGCAGTGGGCTGCTAACAAAATCACAGACAATTGATACGTTCAGTGATCTCCTGAGAGAGGATCACTGCCCTGCCTGCCAGCTGGAGGTGAGAAGATCTTAGGGGGATAGATTTTATTTCATAAGTTATTTGTTAATTGGCTAATGTTATAGCCCATGACTTATATTAAAAAGCTTTGGTTTGATTATGGGAGTGTGGGTATGTGTTCATAATTGTAAAATAATATTGAGTTTCAACCAGATTATAATATTTAGTGCTAGCTATAAATTTTATTTCAAGTCTATGTATTCATTGGAAAAGTCGGTACCAGGCCTGTGCTTTTAAAAGTCTAATGAGTACAGTTGAGGTACCATACAATATGGTTGATTTTTTTTTTTTTAAATCACAGTAGGAAATAATTTCAGATGTCCCTCAATTATCAAAAGAACTTCATGGTGTTCTTTAAATAGATTTACTTGACTGACTTCTGAGAATGTAAAAGCTTGTCCCATGGCATTAATTTTTGAGCAGTTTACTCAGGAAAGTCTTTCCTGTCACCATACACACTAGACTTCACTGTTCCTTCAGTACCCAAATCCCATTGTAAATCTTAAAGAGCTAATGTAAATGGAAATCTTTAGAGTTAGGATTTGTAGCTCTGGATGTTAATAAATTATTTTCCATGTTAGGGTTATAACACATAGGAAATCATTTTTGCCATAAGCATTCTATAGATAAATTCCTCATTTTTCTAGTCTTTACCTTCTGTGTAAAGTGGGGATACAAATTCCTAACCAGGTAAAGTCAGTCTTGGCAGGATCCTGTGTAGAATAGCATATCACCTGAGAGCCTGATAAATGTGGTCACTATTCCATGGCTGGGGCAGGAATACATGCAACATCTTCTTGGGCTTTAGCTTCATCCTCTTTTCCACATTCTCTAGTCCTGCTACCTCATTTTTTAAATGCTCTAATCTGTTCAGTAGAACTTCTGTGAGTCCATTTTTGTTACAAATAATTCCAAGTACTCTTTCTCAGCTGACTTGACATTTTCTTTTTGCGTGTATGCAGGTGACCCACAGTATTTTTACTCTCTAACAGTAGCCAAATGATTCCGTGTGTGACTTTCTCTCCCTGTTTGATCCTAAATGACAGGAAAGCAAGTTCTTCCTGTTGTCTTCTTTGTGGGTGCAACGCTTAGCAGGATGCCTCCTTCGTACTGGTCACTGGTGAATTAATCATTGAGCCTCGTGACACTGCATGTACGGCTAGTTCCTTGGGCCTGCAGGGAAGAGCAGGACAGGGAAGGACTAGCAGGAGCAATGAGAAGAACAGATGAAAAGCTAAACCAGACGGAAGTTTTTGAAACTCTCACAGTGGGTTATGATGAAACTGAAGAGACTGAGAATAGGCCCCTGAACTTAATGTGAGAAACATCATAACATCTTTAAAGCAGCCATTTGCATAGGTAAGCAGGAAAAACAACAACAACAAAAACAAAAAACAGACTTGGGTAAACACAGAAACAAAGGCCATGAAAGAAACCCAATGATATCTAGATGTAATAGTAACTTGGGTTTTTGAGATAAAGTGAACTTAGGCTGCTGTAAGACTTTACAAGAGTTAGAAACTGAGAAGAAACAGAACAAGAGGGTGTGGAGGTAGCAAAGAGTGAGACCCCTGCAAAGGATCCATCTACTCCCCAAGAGCTTGTTGATTATTCCTCTATACTGGGCCTCGTGTCTAACGGAATTATGCAAATGACAGTTGTGATGAATGCTGTGATGATGATCAAGTGAGACAGGACATGACATTTAAGTCAGTACCTAAAGGTGAAGTGAAGTTGGCCAAAGAGCAAATCGGGCTGAAGTAGATGGACGGGAAGAATGGGAAGATCTGGAGGTTAAAGTGGTTTATTCATCTGAGACGCGCATTAGAAGACTGGATAAGCTGAGGCAGGCAAGATGCATCTGGAATACCGTTTTCTGCTTGCAATAGCCAGTCAGTACTAAAACATGGTGTCTTAGTTAGGTTTCTAATGCTATGAAGAGACTAGACTGGCCTTGAACTCAGGAATCTGGCTGCCTCTGCCTCCATAAGTGCTGGGGTGAGTCTTGGAAGCTTAGCTGGGTGAGTCCTGCCCTACTGTCACCACTCCCTTTATTTACTTTAGCATCAGCTTTACTCTGTTTACCTCTCTGAACTCGGGATTTAGCTGCACTGTATTTCCTGGTGCCCCTTTTCTCCTCAAACTACATTTATTTTTCCTTGGTAAGTTTGCTCATTTTCATTATAGATCTCCATAATATTGGTCAGTAATAACCATGTAACACAGTCAATATTAGGCTGTTTTGAAATCTCATCTGTCAAAGCTGTTAATTCAAAAATTTTCAATTTAGCCTCAGCAAGGTTTTCTTGGCGGGGAGATGGGGAGCCAAGGGCAGAAAACAGCCACATTCTTCACCAAAATATTACAAGAATGATCTCTAGGCCACTTACTAATATTCTTCTCTGTACCTCTTGAGTCAGTCTATCATAATCTATGTTGCCCTCTTCCCTGTTTTTACTAGGATAGCCCATTAAGTCCCACTTAAAGTATTCAATCACTTTTCTAGTCCAAAGTCCGCATTTCTCCACACATTTTGCATGGTAGGACTATCGCAGCAATACACTTCTGTCTTACCTAGGGTTTGTGTTGCTGTGAAGGACACCATGACCACAGTAACTCTCGTAAAGGAAAACATTTCATTGGCTGTGGTTTACGAGTTCAGAGGTGCAGTCCATTGTCATGACAGAAATCATGGTAGTATACAGGCATGCTGGAGACGGAGCTCAGAATGCTACACCTGGATTGATGGGCAGCAGGAAGAGAGAGAGAGAGAGAAAGACTTGGCCTGGGTTAAGCATTTGAAACCTCAACACACCCACAACCCCCAGTGACACACTTTGTCTAACAGGGCCACACCTATTCCAACAATGCCATACTTCCTAATAGTGTCAATCCATGGTGATCATATATTTAAATCTTGGAGCCAGTGGTGGACGTTCTTATTCAAAGCCACAGATGGGGAAGAGTAATAACAGCTAAAATGAAGAAAAACCACTTATGTTTATGAAAAAGGTATAAGAAAATTTATAAAATCTTCCTGAAGAATACAGAGCAAATTTAAAGGAGATAGGCATTATTCTTAAATGGGAGACTACTTGACAATATTACTAATGCTCTCTCAAATCCATATCTTTTAAATTTTTATTTTTAAAAAAATATATATACAATATATTTTCATCATATTCTCTCTCCTCCTTCAACTCCTGCTAAATCATATGTCCTTCCTACCTACTAAACTTTACAATCTTTCTTTTGCTCAAAAAGCAAAACAAAAAAGAAAGGTCACAACAAACAGAAAGCAATAAGATAATACCTAAACAACACACACACACATTATGGTTTCCATTTTATGTTGGCCAACTACTCTGGGGTAGCACAGGCCTGCCTTAACATTTGGTTAATATAACCCAGTGACACACCATTGGAAAAAAAACTGATTTTCTCTTTCTCATTAGGGATCATTGCAAATACCCTGTTGGTTCCAGGTGGGATTTGTGTCCTCTTTGCTCAGTGCTGGGATTCTGTCTATTTTGAACTTGTGCAGGTCTTGTATGTGCTGCCATAGCCTCCTTTGTGAGTCTGTATGTGCGTCATCCGTGTTGTGTTTGGAAGATGATGTTTCTCTTAGAGTAGTCTATCCCCTTTGCTTACAAGTTCCTACTTCTTTTCCACATAGATCCCTGATGCTCAGAGGGAGGCGTTTGGTCGACATGCTATTTAAAACTGAGTGCTGAAATTTGTTGTCAAAATTTATAATCTGGAGGGGAAAAAAAAAATCTCTTCAAGAAACGGTGCTTGAAAAGCTGGATGTCCACATGCAGAAGAATGAAATTAGACACCTGTCTATCACCTTGCACAAAACTAACTTCAAGTATATCAAAGACCTAAACTTGAAACTCTGAAACTAAAAAATGACCTAGACAATACTCTATATCTTATGAGTATGGGAAAGGACTTCCTGAATAAGACTCCATTTGCCCAAGAATTAAGGTCAGTAATTAACAAGTAGGACTTCATGAAACTAAAGAGCTTCTGTACAGCTAAAGAAATGATCAGGTGAAGAAGCCCATAGACTTGGAAATACTCTTTGCCAGGCATACTTCTGATGGAGGATTAATACCCTGAGGATGAAAATAACTCAAAAACACAAATGACCCATTCAAAAACTAGGCCTGTGGCCTGAATAGATCTCAAAAGAAGAAAAAAATGATTAATAAACATCTCAAAAATGTTTATCATCCTTAACTATTAAGAAAGTACAAATAAAATTAAAATATAAATAAAATAAAACCTTTGAGATTTCAGATAACTAGAGTCAGAATGCCAGATATCAATGGAACAATGACAAGTGCAGGAGGCAATGCGGGAAAAGGGAACCCTCTTTCACTATTTGAAGGACTGCAAACTGATCCAGCTACTATAGAAATCAGTGTGGAAAATTCTCAAAAAGCTATAAATAAATCTGTCATATGGCTCATCTATGTCCTTGGCATCTGTCCAAAGGACTCAACATCCTATTACATGGACACTTGCACAGCCACGTTCATTGCT